CACCTGATTCGGTGTCCAGCCCTAAAGATAAGGACGGAAACCCAGAGATACTGAGAAGCAAGAAGACAACTAATGAACTGCTATTAATTAGCTGCTATATATGTACCCCCACCCTTGGGGGAAGCTGAAGTCAAAATTTAGGTCTAATGATAAATATCATAAAGCCTGCCATTTGAAAAAAAATATTGGTCAATATTTATACTATTACATGCATAAAGTAAAGCTATTTCAAATCAGGGCATTTCGGCTAAAAATCGAATGTAGAGCAGCTCAGAGGTCAATTGAAGATAATTAATTTAAGTCCTAAATTACATATTAAAGTGTAGGACTTATTTTTTCCTCATAAATATTACTAGAATTTATTGTAATTCAAAAAATGACGTCTGTTAATTTTCCAGGACCAACGATTAAAATCCTGCACAAAACAGCAAAATTCTTATATCCATTCACGTTTTGACAAAAAACCTGCCTGTTTATGCCATAGGCTAAATATGCATGGTATCGTTATACCTATTACGCGGAGTAGGTATTTGTTACAACCATGTGATCAAACGTTATTATATTGTATGGCATGGGGGTGTGCGATAGACTTACCTCCACGTGATGCACCCTGGGCAACATATACTCATATGACGAAAAAGTCTATTAACCGGCAGTTGACTTCTGACTTCAAACTACCATCACTCCACTGTATGCCATATTCGACCCCTTTCACTGTATTCATCTTACCTTTTCTATGCCTTTTTTCTGTCTGTCTGTCGCCTTTACATCTGTGAATTATTATTCTGTCCCCCCTCTCGACTTTTTATCACTTTGATGTTCCTCCTCCTCTCTGTGAAGCCTGAAGTCAACTATAGGGCTAATGATAACTATCGAACCGCCTGCCATCTGATATAAATAAATGTTGTATGGCACTTTCTGACTCCGATTACTACTTATATAATTCACAGGCCATGAATTTCGTGGCCTATTTAATTTTATTTCCTGGTTGGATGATGTCTTTACGTAAATAATAGAGAAATAGGGAACAGGGTAATTTAATTGGTTCCGCAGGAACCAATAGGGAGTTAGGCAATAAATGCTTCCAAGGCAGCGACACGTGTGGATGAAAGGTTTGGGTTTGCGCAATTTTTAATACTAGTTAGGTGTTGGTGTGTGTGCGAGTGTGAGTGTTGTTTGGATAGGCGAAAATCGCGGTATATTATTTCACTTTGGTATTTAAACGGGAATTTCATAATCTGAATAGCCAGAAATGACGGAGGAATTAAAAGATGCTTATTTTACAATCGATAAGAATCATACAGGTAAGTTATTGTGTTTGAGAATATTTTTTTAATCATCGATAATCTATTGAAGTTGTAAAATGCTCAAATAAATATTGTGCTGCTCAAAATTTGTTATCCATTATCTGATTGATTTTTTACTCTCAGTATATTTTAATTTTCAAGCTAAGATGCATTGAGAGCAAACCGGTTTATTTATGTGCTTGTCCTGGGTAGATTTTATGAATTCGCTGACAGATTTACGTAAATCTTTAATGTGATACTTTTTATCCTTGGATTTACTGCGTTTGATGCCCATAAGGTAATGAATGCTGCACTCTATTGAATAGACTAATCGTTCGTAATTAAGTGAAATTCCATCCTCTCTTTTTGCCTCAAAATTCCACTTACAAAAATAAACGCTTTGAAACGTTGAAAAAGCGTATCTTTTAAAGAAAATTCTTCAAGGTTGGTGCATTACAGTGATTGTAGATAGCAATTTGAATGTTTAAAATTGCTTTAATTATTTGTTTTAAACTGCTATGACAAGCAGTGCTGGTTTATCAAATCATAGCTAAATTCTATTCGTTATTTTTTGAAGTTCTTCCCAATTCTAGTTAATGTAAAATGTGAAGATACGTAGTTTTACGGATTTCAAATTAACCATCGCCTGTAAGTAAGTAAAAAGAACTCAGCTTTCCCCCATCATATTAACATGGATATAGGTAGGAAACTGCAGGTATCTTAACGACTATAACAGAAATTTAATAGATGTCAAAATTTTTTGAAGTAACGAAGACGACACACCTAATGAAGTACCTGGAAATTTTGAGTCGCTTGCGTTTAGATATTTTATTTGTCAAAATACTACGGGCATTTCAATTGAGCAAATTTCCTTCATTTGAATAATACGTGTAGTAAAATAATTCATTACAATGTTATTGCATCAGTTTTAAATCCATTTCTAGAGAGAAAAAAATTATTTAAACTCTCCAGCTTGAATAAGCCAATTAAACACCGTAATTTAAAGTGCGGTTAGTGTTTCGATTATATTCTGTTAAGCACTCCTATCTTAAATGAGCTAAGTTAAAAAAAGTATTCAACGGGTTAATGAAACTGAAAGGGAATAAATCGGATCTCGAATATAACTGCTTAGATTTCCTAAGCACAATTTTTATTCTAATGGGAAGCTTGCTTCGAAAGCACTACTCTAACTTTGTTGTTGTTAAGATGCAATTACCATTGAGGATCTGGAGAAATATCGGCAGGAAAACAATCTCAGCGAGGACTTCATTCACGTAAGTTGAAATCTTGGTTGAATAAGAAACTTATTAATTTGATCGTTCTAAGTTCTTAAAGCTGGTAGATGCGAGGTGTCCGCTTGCCAGTCCGATCTTCCCCCCCCCCCTTCCAATTTACAGCAAGGCGATGCTGACTTTTGTAGGATTCGAGTTTTGTAATTAATTATTCCTTATCTCCTCTCTCTCTCTCAAGCGCCTGGAAAATGGTTCATTGTAGTTCTATTAGAAATCCTAATACAAATTATTTAATGTATTCTAAATCATTCATAGGAAGGTATTCAGTTTTGGAACTTTTGTAATCGGCAAATATCTTTCTATTCAGGTCAATCAAGTGGGAACAGTAAATTTACTTTAAGTGATAAGCTCTCGATTGACAACCGAACGCTTCAAAAGTACAAAAAATTGGAATTTTTTATACCATTTTATGTCAAAAAGTACATCTATTTTAAATTTATTTCTTTAAAACTATATCCTGGTGACATTCAATTAAGTGAAGAATGACCTTACAGGGCGCCAGCACATGAATTGTCAGCGTACCTATATTTATGACATGTAACCGTCACTTTAAAGAACTTTTTAAATTAAATTAGTCAAAAAATAGTTGCCAAGTTTTCTTTTAAAAAGGAATAGTGTAAAATCTATGATAGATTTGATCGGAAAAGTTAGGAATTGAGTATTTTTAAAGCTCTAAAAAGAATTTGCAACTATTTGTACGTGGTAATACTTTTCTGAATCCACCCTTACTTGAAATTCACTTTTTACTACTTTTCTTGTTGACCGAAATTAACCAGGACGGATGTTCACTCACACACCGCCGCAAGTGCACCGACTACATTGATCCCATGACCTCTAACTTGGTGGAGGTGCAAGTTGATCATTTCGGTACTGGCACTCATGTGCACAAAATTTTTCGACAACTCCTGTTGCCTACTCTTGCTAATACATATACTCTCAAATCAGGTAGGCGATGGGTGTCCGGAGTTCGAACTGTTTAAAACAACTAACTTCTCTTAATGGGGCACTCTAGTGTATCCTCCATTAAGTCCAAATTCGCCCGACTTCTTCTGTAGAGAGATCTGAATAAGTATAGTCAATGGACACCCTATTTGACACCCTAGGTTATAAACAGTGGCTACACTACCACCTTTCACTGATTATGAATACCTTAATACCATTTATACTTATCAACTTATTTAATGTCATTATTTATCAAGGAGCGCGTTACTTTTACGCAGCTGACTCATTAAATTAGACTTGAATCGAAACTACTATTGTTATTTTTTATTTTCAGCAATGGCAGAAACTCTTCGATCCAAATAATACCGGTGTCATAACACTTCAGAAATTCCAAGACGTCCTCTGTCTAAACAAGATGGAAGAGCAAAAAAAGTAAGTCAGAGAAGAACAGTTGGTAGCGCGAATTCGTGTACGTGATCCGCTCCAATAAGCACAGTCATTAGAATAGTGTGTTGGCGTACGCACATTCAACTTATCGCCAGACACAATTATCCTAGCATAACCAGTCGCTTAGTAATTCCACTTAAGTAAACTTTCCAAACTATTACCCTTCTAACTTTCCACTGAACTGGACTGCAAGATGAAGGAAGTGGGCTTTTATATTCATTAGGAGAAAAGGAAGGAAGAAAAGTTGCCATCCAGATATGACACATTTATTAAAGATGAGCTTTAGATTGATAGCCTATTATCTTAGGGTATGCATAATGAATTACACCCGGACATTCATCTTTAAAGTGTATTATGGTAATCACGACTCGGTAAAGTGGAGAGATCAGTTAAAAAAGGGAGTGGGGGTGGGGGCGAGGGGGTGGAGTGGGAACAGATGCGTGGATGTACGCATGTGTCTTTTAATAGCTTAGTCAATAAAAATAAAAGGAACATGCCTCATGAAAGGCACCCCCCCCCCTCATAGGGACGGGGTGGTGAGGTGAGTATGTACTTTACATAGGAGATGAATTAACGAGGAGAAGGAAATCATAAAAACTCAAGTCGAAAACCAAAGTCTTCTGAAGGTTTCCCAGATCTGAGGAAGTCAATATTAGATAAGGCCATTTCAACCTTCGAGAAATTTATTTATCCCAAATGGCAGGCGTTTTGATGGTTATCATTAGGCCTTTAGCTGACTTCGGACTTTACAGAGATGAGGAGGTAAATCAAAGTGACAAAAGTCGAGAGGGGGGCAGAATAATGATTCACAGATGCGAAAGAGACAGACAGACACAAAGGCAGAGAAAAGGTAAGGTAAGTATTGTGGAAGTGGCTGAATATGACATACAGTAGGGTCATGGTAGTTTGAAGTCAGAAGTCAACTGCCGGTCAATAGACTTTTTGCGTATGGGTATAGGTTATCCAGGGTGCACACGTGGAGATAAGTCTATCGCACACCCCAGCTTCAAGAAATTAAGAATCTCCCATATGAGCAACTCTTACATTTACCAAAAAATGAATCTCCTAAGTTTCAAGTATAGTTATCTTTTAAAAGCAAAAAAATAGACCAAAGGAATTGGACAAAGAAATTGACAGTAAGGTGTCACGGTATCTACATTTGGTTATCGGTTTCAAATTTTAAAATGTTTACCTGTTGAATAGTTCGTAAGTGCTGTCACATTCGCATCGCACCGACATTATTGCTTAATTGGTAGAGTAGTTTGAGCTCTTTGTCACACCATTTTATACTACTCATTGTGCCTCTAAATAGACTAATACGGCTGACTAAATTTCAATAGAGCAGATTTATAATAATTTAGTATGATTGGTTGGTTTATTTTCAGATTTTGTTGAATTACCTATAGTATAAACCGCACCTTTATTGGCAATTTAGTGAAAATGTCTTAAACTTATCTTGACGCTTAGAGTAATTGAATTTGAAGATTTTTCAGAATTGCCGGAATATTGACTGGCAAGTGTGCTTGGGTAGAGAATGCTACGCAAAGAAACCTCAACAATATTAAAGAAACAGTACGCATCGAAGGAATTGCGTTTATTCCGGCCATGGAATTTAGCCAAAAAGATTAGTCAGTAAAATGCAATTATCCCTACGTTACACTGTGGTGACTATTGATTGGTGGTTGGCTGGGCGGTCTCTGAACTCACAACTGCACCTTTCTGCCTGTCAAAGTACGCATGGAATTTCTTTGCTCAGCTTTGATAGTGTTGTACACTCCACCGTTTCAAGTGATTTCCTGAAAACCTTTTCATTTTCCACAAAGTTGAAGTGGAAAAATTACCATTTCATCATCATCTCCTTCTTTTCTAACAGTTTGTCGTTAAACCTAAGAGAATGATTCCCTCTTCTTTAGAGAAAAGAGTGAGAAATGTTAATTTATAAACCTATAAGTTAAAGTAAGCAGAGAGTGTATTTGAGTTAACTGGGGTGTGCGATAGACTTACCTCCGCGTGGTGCACCCTGGGCAACGTATACTCATACGGCAAAAAAGTCTATTGATCGGCAGTTGACTTCTGACTTCAAACTACCAAGACCCCACCCACCGTATTTCATATTCGACTACTTCCACAATACTCACCTCACCTTTTTTCTACCTTTGTGTCCGCCTGTCTCTTTTACGTCTGTGAGTCATTATTTTGTCCCCTCTCGACTTTTTGCCACTTTGATGTTCCTCTTCCTCCCCTGTGAAGCCCGAAGTCAACTAAAGGGCTAATGATACCTATCACAACGCCTGCCATTCGAAATAAATAAATAAATATTTGAGTTAACTCATTTTATGGGTTAGGCTTCGTGACATTATAATCACATGAGTATTGTGGGGGGTGAAGTGTATTCTAGATGAGGACTTCCACTCTAACAAGCCTATCTTGAATTTACTAGAGTTACAGAATGTAACAGAATTATGGTACAAATATATAGTGATGTGAATCATGCTATTTTAGCAAGTTTGGAATTTCGACCAAGTACACATAATTACACGAAAACTGTATGCAGTTATAAATTACCCAATGATTAATTAGAACGTTTCAAATGACGATATGCATGGAAAAGTAATCAGACGATAGGCATTCATTGGATTTAATAATCTGTAAACAAACTATAATTGCCTCGTCAGTCTAGTTTACATTTTTTGGTAAAGCTTCAGCTGTTACTGAAATTAAACGCCCATTTTAAAAATCACTAATTTTTTCAGGCAATTTAGCAGTGTGAAACTTGAATTCTGTCCTTGTCTTTATAAACCGGTTTAAATAAATGCGGGCGAAGCCCTGCACGCTATAGAGTGTAACCAAGATAAAACAGATCCTATGTCATACTAGAAGTGCTTTTGAGCACTTGTGTAGAGTCACGTGATGTCCCGTGAGCATTTTGTGTTAAATCTGTTACTCAGTGTTGTACTGCCACATGCTAATAACTCTTGTTAATACCATCCCGCTGAAACGTCTTTTCAATCGAACAACGTGTGTCCATTGCTAAAACTTGTGCCATTTATTGAAAAGTTCACCACAAAATGTCCTCAGACAGTTGTTGGTGCTAAAAGTGTTGTCCAGAAAAAAGACTTGCTCTATTTAGGGCTACGAGTTCAGTCGGAAAATGACAAATGTAACCGCTTGCATGCTCACGAACTTCTGATACAGTGCCCAAGAAAATTGACCAGTCGCCTTTCCTCCAGCTAAACACCTAACGAAAACCATCCTAAAATGCGCTGAAGCTAATGCACGTACGAGCGCCCAATGTAGGGATGATGCGAGCATGGAAACCTACTGACTACGCAAAACGGTAACGTTATTACCTATAGTTACTCACTCCTGTCGCAGATGGCTATCTTCTTTCAAATGGTTATTTTAACACAGTCAAGTCATGGTTCCAACTTAGGCGTTTGGTGTGCAGTTTCAGCCTTTTTCTTTTATAACAATGTGAACTCTCAAATGTGTGTAACACAATTGTTACAATCATTTATGATCCAGCTGACGGAGGAAGACTGAGAGTTCGTATTTTTACAGCAAGACGGCGCTACTTCGTATTCGTCATGCTTTTCAATGTCATAGGTCCATGGTGACGTGGGAGGAGAGCGCACACTTTCCGCAGATTTATGCCATTCCATATTGCCCGGTCTATCTGCCTTCTACTTTTAGTTTTGGGGTGAAATAAGGGATAAAGTGTACTTTAACAATCCGCCTACAATGAATATTCCCAAAGAGGTTGTGGAAATCACACCAAATGAATTGCCAAAAGCACACTAGCCGTTGCCCCATAGGGGCAATTGTCACTATTATAATAATTCCAAATCAAATGCGAACCGAACACGATTGCCTGGCAAAACCCCTTCACAGATTGGGAGTATACACTCAACCCACATGCCCTCTATGTAACCTACAGGAGGAAATGGAGAAGACTCACCTGATTCGATGTCCAGCCCTAAAGACAAGGACGGAAAGCCAGAGATACTGGGAAGCAAGAAGACAACTAATGAACTGCTATCAATTAACTGCTATATATGTACCCCCCCACCCAAAGGGGGAAGCTGAAGTCAAAGTTTACGGGCTAATGATAAATACCATAAAGCCTGCCATTTGAAATAAATAAATAAATGATAATTGAAATTAAAGTTAACAAAAAGATGTGTTTTCCACCACCCCCTTCATGTCACCCCACTGATCGATTAATTTGAAGCAATGTGTGTCCTGCCACTCTAATTCCTAATAGGGTAAATTCATTTGTCGCAAGACACGACGGTCATACAAAGGATCTAAATAAGAAAAATGACAACGATAGAAGGTTTTGATTTCACTGTTTTTTATGTGTCTTTTTATTGAGTAATACTAAGATTTTAATTCTAATTATTCAAATATTATCAATATTCCAACATCAAATATATTTCAGATAGAAGAGAAGAAATTAAACACGGAACTATCGCGCGGACTAGGCCAAACTTTATTATCAGCATTATTTCTACTTTTATTACCGTACTGAAGGTTAATTTAAGGGCGATCTGGCCAATTAGAGGTTTTGGGAATATTGGTGTATAGAATAGTGGATATTCTCCGTCTAATGTTAAGCAACACAACATTTACTGTCTTTTTAAATTATTTTTTTGCTTAGAGATGTGGCAGACGATGCTACAGAGGGTCAGGAAGAATTGCTTCCAATTGCCGAAG